TTCTTCTTTGCATTATCTAAGAGTTGTTGGATTGATTTCTCATGATCCCTTACTGTTTTTCAGAGATCTCTCTTTTCATGGTCACTGACCACAATCCTATCTTTTATATCTGAAATTCTATTTTCACATTCATTCATTCATTCTGCTGTGAATGCTTTCTATAGAGTTTTTAATCTCATGGATACCTGTTTGGATCTGTTTCATGGATTCCATTTCTTTCCTATGTTGGGCATTTAAGGATTTCATTTCTTTCCTATTCTGGGTATTCATGGTTTCTATCATGGTCCCGAGCTCGCCTTTTTATTTACTTTTTTTTTTTAATCTGTTTCTGTTCTAGAATCCCTAATCATGTCTTCCATTCTTCTCACCATCTCTGTGGTTATTTGGGAAATTACTTCTGTTTTGATTTTTTTTCTAAAGTCTCATTTATCTTTTTTTTTTTTTTTTTTTTTTTTTTTTACTTCCTGCACTATCAGTTCAGAGTCTCCAGATAGTTGACTGCCAGACTTTTCCACCTCATTTCCCCAAGAGTTTACCTTTGGTGAGGTGGAAGTAGGTGTTTGTGCCTTGTTTAAATGTCTCCTAATTTCTATTTTTGTCATTGTTACTGTCCTTGGTTTAATTCCTGGGTTAATACTTTGATCTTCCAGATATAGCTCGTCTTTAGGTTTTGAGTCTCTAATGACTCTGAGGCTACCTCATTTTCATTATACCAGGGAAGACAACTGATTGGATCAACCACAACCCCTTAGCCCAAGTGATACAATCAGCAACACAACAGCATCAAGCACAGCTTAGAAAATTACAATTTGTGATAGTTATTAATTTAATCACTTTAACTGTGTGAATTAAATCACAATTGAGGACTAGCACAAAATGTTTATAGTGAGGTAAACTTTTACATATAGCAACTTTACCCTTCAGGATGGGGATTTAGAAGGAGTTGGGGAGGGACAGATAGATAGGATAGAGAAAGCTTAGAAGTGAGGTCAGAGGACATAAGAAGATCACACAAACTCTAGGGAGCTGTTGAAGAGAAGAGGAGAAGACAGAACAAAATGTACACAAGAACAGAACAAACTAACACAAATAGGGAGGCTGGAGACTGTAACCACTTTCTTATAAATCTAATGGCAATTGAGAGATGGGAAAAGAGAAGAAAATAAATTTGAATTAGGATAGGAACAGGAATAAAAAGGAAGTGTAATGGAAATCAAAGTGGGAGAGAGAGTGAGAGAGAGAAAGAAAAAGAAAAAAGAAAAAAGACTGAGCAAAGAAAGATAAATTTTTTTAATGATTAAAGATAAGAGAAAAAATATTACTTTGAAAATAAAAAATAAAAGCAGAAATAGAGGGTCTCTTTCATGATATGCCTCTGTTGACACAATAGACAGTGTGGGCAGGAGTGTGTAAATATAAGTGAATTAATCTCAGCAAGCCAGCAGCTGCCCCTGAGGTTCAGCCTGATTTCTGGTTGCAAGGCTGTAGTTGAGATCTCTGACCACCTGCTGGGTTGAATTTTGCAAGATTCTCCTGCAGGTTTCAGCTGTCTTTCCCCTGAAGTTAGATCAGGTTGGGATGTGATGTGCTGGTCCTTCCGACTTACCAGCTATGGTGGTGTGGTGTGCCTTTACTGCAGATTTTCTTCACTTTCCCAGTGGATTTCAATTTTCATCTAGGAGCCTCAGAGAGGCCCTCCTTCTCTTGTTCATGGCAGGGGAAGGCAAATGGCACTGTGTTGGCACCCATGTGACTGGACTCCTCTGGCATGCTGGGTCAGAGGGACAGGCCTATTAGAGGTTTTCAAGCTGCTGCCAGGCTCCTCTGGAATGCAGAGGGTCATTCCAGCCTTTAATTTTAAATTGACTTTGGACATCCAGAACACATTCTTCCCTAGAAGTATGGCTGCAAACAGTGGCAAATTTCTCTCAAGAAAACAAGTAAATATATATTAGGAGCTATCTCACCTAACAGTAAACCAATACATATCTGAAGCAGGCATCTCAACGTGGCTCGAGACTGAACTTCTGGAAATCAGGGGTGGTGGTGAAGAGGGGCATGGCAGTGAGGATGAAGCCGCTGTAGGTTTGGGAGGCAGGTGAGAGGCAGAATGAGGGCAGAGGATGGGTGTGAGTCTTAAGAAGGTTGTGTAAGGTAAGTGTACCTGGTGTTATGCTGAGTCAGAAAGCCCATGTGAGGAAGCTCTTGGATAAAGGATAGAAATGAGGAAAAAAGAACGACATTTCTGCTCACACTTTATCATTCATCAGAGGGACTCAATGGCACTGCTGACTTCCCGGGTACTTAAGCCAGTTCTACAAATTCCATCTCTCTGCCAATAAGCTGCAAGTCACAGGCATCCCCTTTTCTCATCTCATGCCCTAGACTAAAAGCTCCATTGTCTTTCCCAGATCCTGGCAAAGTCTCTTCACTGGCAGCTCACCTTCTGTACTTGTCCCTGAACTCTTACTCCAGGCCCCACCTCTAGCAGCTAAAACACTATTACCACGGCACACCTGGTCCCATGTGGTCCCTTGGCTTATGTCCTTCCTCGGCTTCCCTCTGTATTTTATTTTTCCAATACTATATGTTTGCATTGCATGATTACATTCACCATGGAAAGGCTGTACATGTACTTTGCACATCTCAGTTCATCCTCCCTTCCCTTCTCTCCCTGCTCCCTGTAAATCTTGTTTCCCTTCCTATTTTTTATTTCCTATTTCTTAAAGAAATTCCTTCTTCCTTCCCTCCTCCATCTTCTTACTTACTATTCCATTATAAAAGATTTCCCTACTTTTCATTATCTGTTCTTTATTTTGCTGTTTATTTATATTTTGGGTTTGTTGTATAAGAAAAACCATTCCATATATAAACTTCTGTGTCTGATTTATTTTACTTAACATTATAGTGTCTGGATCCATCTATTGACCTAAAAATGCTTGAAGTTTATCCTTATTTATAGCAGGTGTGGAAGTTCCACATTTTCTTTATCGGTTCATCGGTTCATCTGCTGGGCATATAAGCCATTTTCAGGTTTAGCTATAATGAAACATGGATATACATGTGTCACTGTAATATGATTAATCTAACTCTTTAGGGAAAATTACTATGAAGGGAATAGCTGGATCAAGCAGAATTTCTAGATTTAGTTTTTCTGAAGAATCTCCATACTGATTTCCATAATGGTGGTACCAGTTTATACTCCAACCAACAATGTAGACAAATCCCTTTTCTCCCACAGTCTGGCAAGCATTTGTTATTTTTTGATTTCTTGATGACAGACATTCTTTCTGGGGTAAGATGTTATCTCAGTGATGCTTTAATGTGCATTTCTCTAAGGGCAGGCAGTCCTGAGCATTTTTTCATATATTTCTTTGGATATTTGTATTCTTTCTGAAGAGTATCCATACATTTTGATTTGGTTTTTGTTTGTTTTGGGGGGGTTGGTACTACGGATTGAACTCGGGACTTTGTGCTTGCAAGGCAGGCGCCAGAACAACTGAGCTAAATCCCTCACCCTGTCCATACATTTTGGTTCTCTATTTTTGAATTTGGTCTTTTATTTTAGGGGGTTAATATTTTTTAGCTCTTCATATATTCTAGATGTTAGTCCTCTGTCTACAGAGCAGCTGGCAACACTTTTTCCCATTCTGTAGGTCGTCTCTTCACTGTTGGTTGTTTTGTTTTGCTATGCTGAGATTTTTAATTTGATGTTTCCATTGTTGATTCTCAGTATTATTTTTTGTGCCACTTGGGTTCTGTTCAGGAGATTCCTGCCTATGTCCGTGTCTTCAAGAGTGGTACCTATTTTATCTTCCAGTATTGTTTCTGTTTTAGCCTGTGGATTTTAGATCCATTATGATTTTATTTGAGGACAGGTGACTTGTGCCTAGACTGTCTTCTGCATGTGGATATTGCATTTTCCCAGCACCATTTATTAGAGAGGCTATCTTTCCTTTAGTGAGTCTCTACATTTTAAATAAAACCCAGACTCCTCCCCTCCTTGCACAGATCCCTCTCCCTCCTCAGGCCCAAGCAGGCCTCTCCTCTCTGCTCCCCACTCTACCACTGCCACCTGCCCTCAGCCCCATTCCCACCAGCTGCTCCACACCACCTCAGCCACCGCCTCCTTGGATCCCACAGCTGACTTCTGTTCCTCCCTTCCAGCCTCAGCTTCAGTGGCACTATTTCACAGAGCCCACTGAGGACCCCTCCCTTTATAAAGCCCCAGCATACAGTTTCTGGTCCTGCTCTCTTGTCTTCATTTTGCACCTCTGTGTTTGTGGCTTTGTTCACTCCAGCTTCCTCAATGGATGCAACCTGTGCCAGAGCAAGACTGTAGATGGGTGCTGGCTGCTCTTAGCCTTCCCAGCCTGGCTCTGAGAGACAGACCCACACCCATAAGTTCATGGCTGTGCTTTCCTGCTGCTCTGTGTCCTCTTCCTGTGATACCAGGCCAACCCAACCCTGAGTCCCAGCCCACAGTAAGGATGTACTAAATCCCTGATGTTTTCAGGAACTGGAAGCTTTTTGTTGAAGAGAGGATATATAAAGTACGAGGCTTTGCTCTTTTTTTTTCTTTCCTTTTAGAATAAGAAGGATAAGCCAGCCAGGTGTGGTGTCCTGCACCTGTAACCCCAGCACTTTAGAAGGCTGAGGCGGGAGAACCAAAAGTTCAAACCCAGCCTGGGCAACTTAGGGACTTGGGGGAGAGAAGGCAAAGGGTTGGAGATGTAGCTCAGTGCAACAGTGTACTAGGGCTCATTCCCTAGTACAGCATAAGGGAAGGATGGACAGGACTTTACACACAGCACGAATGAAAGCAAAGAGCTAAAGCCTGGTGCTCTGGAAAAGAGCAGCCCAAGAGGCGGCAAACCTCGGAAGGCATCAGGAGGGCGGGGGTGGGGGGTCCGCGTCTTAGTGGACCTACAGGACAAGCACAGGCCTTGCCAGACCTCCTGTGACCCCCTCACCAACCGCCTGCCCTCTCTCCCTCACAGTCTCTCGAGGGCACGCGCTGGAGGAGGCCAAGTGTCCCCTGGGCTTCTTCCCCTGCGGGAACGTATCTGCCTGCCTGCCCCAGCAGCTGCACTGCAATGGCGCTGACGACTGCGGGAACCGGGTGGATGAGGAGAACTGCGGTGAGTGGAGCTATGGGCGCCAGGGCAAGGGCGGCGGGGCCGGGCTAACCCGCGTGCCAGACCCTTCCACTGAGACAGCCCTTCCTAAACGGAATCCACCCTTCGCCGGGTGACCAGCTCGCCGCCCAGATTTCAGGCAAGCTGAGGCTGGGCCCACAGCAAGGGCTTCAACCTGACAAACCTGCCTGAGTATGGGCCAGAGACAGAGAGCTGGAGGAAATCAGAATAGGGTTCTGGAGGTAGATTTCCCAAGTGCGGGCCTGGACACCACAATAACCAACTGCGGAACGGTGAGACCGTTTCCTACCGGCCCTGTGCTCAGTTTCCTCCTTTTGTGAGAGAGGTGGATGACTGTACCTACAATGTAAGAACTGGGGACAATTAATTGTTTTTTTAAAAAAGCTTGAGGCACAGGGCAGATGGTAAGCACTACATGCAGTTCCTCTTTCTTTTGTTTACTAACGCTAGAGAAGAAAAGCAAGACCTCCTTCAAAAGAAAGCAAGAGAGTTATACCTTACCTATTATTCAAGCAACCTCTTTATAAGGCCTGATCTTATAAAGCCAACAAGTAAGGCTGCTAGCCAACATGAATACCTGGGAAATAGCATTCAGTAGGGGTTTTGTTCAAATTTCTGAAACCTAAAAAACACAAATTTATAAAAGAAGCGATAATTTATAATCCTGAGTTACTCCTGCCTGCCTCTCCTTTCTTTAATTTCCCTTGCCAGCTGTGGCTTTTTGTTTCTTCATTTTATAGCATCTGGATGACTCATGCTATCCAGGCTGTACGTCTGTAAGACATCCAGATTATGCTTAGTACTAATTAAACTAAGTCAAAAAGTTCTTGCCCAACATATAGACACATGCATAGTGAGCAGGGTTGATGTATTTGCAGTTAGGTAAAGTATAGAGTCGTAATCTACACACACCAGAAAAACCAACAGTTAAAAATGACTTTCAGCTTGATCATTTACAATTTAATAGATTGTCAACTAAAATATCTTTCTTCAATGGAAGGAGAAACTTGCCTTAATCAACCGTTTGAAAGTAGAGCACACCAAAGACCTCTCCTTTATTCTCTTAAGCCATTTAAACATTGTCACCAATAGTGCTTATTAAAGTCATGGTCATCCTTGCAAGGACTTCCCAAAGTACCTTTATAAGCACTTTTCCCAGCTCTGCCGCATGGCTACCATGTCCTAAGCAGATGTGTTGTGCCAAGCCCTCTGCCGTGATAATACCTGCTTTGGAAGCAGCCAATTCCCCAAGCCATGAGCTAAATTAAACATTTCTCCTTCAAGTGGTGGTTGTTGGGCATTGTGGTTCAGCAAGGGGGCAGCTAATGCAACCTACCCTGAGTGCCGCAGGCTGGGAACAAGCTTTGAACCCAAGGACCTGGGTGGGGGGCATCCAAATGACAGAAGCTTGTTTTGTTGTTTGTTGGGGAGGAAAGACAATGGACACTATTAATCATTGTGTGATATTATGTTCACACAAATCTCTTGCCTATAAAATTCTAATTCTATGGGTCCACCCTTGAATCATTTTTAAGCACAAAAGTAAGGACTTTAAAAAAATTTTTTTTGAAAACTCTTATATAAGAAATTAGGTGAGTTTCCAAATTTAAAATGGCAGACAAAATGTTAAGAGTAATTGTTAATATTTGATAACACCTCATAAATATAAGGAACTATACTGAGTGATTTATGTATTTTGCCTGTAATCCTCAGGACCACCCTTGAGAAAGCTACCCTCTGTTTCCTCCAATGACAGGGGGCACGGAGCCCTCAGCTAACATGGTGCCATTCGGTTCATATTTTCAAAGGACCATCAAATTTTTACCCATGTGGGTCTCTATTTTTCTATGGGCAAAGTTGTCTGTTGTTTCAAGCTTCTGCTCTTCCAGTGCTAGAAACTGACACCAGGTCAGAGAAGCCTTTTCACCTCTGCTCTCCTGGGCTTGCGGCCAAGCCCAGCGGTCTCTGCAGCGTAGGACACTGTGGGAGCCCCGGGGACAGGGCTCTGGCCACCTGTCCTCAGACAATGATCCCAGAATGCCCTGAGACAAGCAGAAGTGATCTGGTTCTCAGCCTCCTGTTGTCCCCTTGTCTTCACCTGCCTATGGTAGGCCCTGTCGCATGCAGTGGCCTCCTTCTGCATCCAGGACACTCCGGGACTCACAGGACACATTTTACCATTCCTGGGCCCCGGACGCCTGCATGATCATGATTAGCCCCGTGGATCTCAGCCCTTCCGCCACTTCCCTTCTGTTTCTCCTATGTCAACGAAGGCTGCACAACAGCTGTGTGGGTCCTGCCACATGGGTGAGTGCAATCAGAAAAGGACCCCAGGCCACCCCTGCTCCCCAACCCCAGAAGTCAGTGCAGGAAATGTGTGCTTTCCCCAGAGCTCAATCCAGGGGACAGAAGGAAAAAAATTCTTCCATTCTCCCTTTGCAGTCTCTTGTCCAGTCCGTGAATAGTAAAACCCAGCTCTTGTCTTTTCTGATTTTATAACTTTAGTATTGGAGAACAAACTTAAGTATATGAAAATGAAATACCAAGAATTTCACCTTCATTATCTGTGAACTTCTATATCATTCCTCTCAGGCAATGAAAGTGGAAAATTCTAGCTGCCTAAGATAGAAAAAAGCAAAAGAGAGCAAGGAATTTGAGAGAAGAAAATCTTTGTAATGTCCTAGAGTCTTTTCCTATCAGGGCCTTGGCATTTGCCAGCCTATGACAATTGATAAGCAGTACTTATTCGTGGGTGTGATGGTGAAGATATATATTTTTAAATAAAATTAGAACACTATTTGAGCTATGTTCAAGGACTCTTAATTTTTAATGCATACTGCATTTAAAATTCTGAAACGTAAATATTCCATTATTTCCCAAGTAAGCTTCTTATGTACTACCAGAGTGACAGCGATGCCGGCACTCTGATGTGGAAGCTACACATTCTCATTTCAGAATGTACCATGAAGAGGGTGGTTTTCACCTGCCTCACAAGCACAAGATCCTAAGTTCAATCCCCAGTAACAAAACAAAAACAAACAAACAAACAAAAAAAAACTGGCACATGAGAATTTTTCTTCTCCACTGTTGGTACAAGTGCAGACTGGTGCAGCCACTGTGGAAATCTATATGGAGATACCTCAAAGAACTAGGATTAGAGGTTCCATTTGACCCAGCTGCTGGGTATCTTTCCAAAAGAATTAAAAGAATCCTACCACAGCGATATATGTGCACCCATGTTTATAGCGGCACAGTTTGTAATAGCTAAAAATTGGAAACAGCCCAATTGCCCATCAGTTGGAGACTGGATAAAGGGAATGTGTTTTTTCTATAAAATGGAATACTACTCAGCCATAAATAATGAGAAACTAGAGACATTTATAGCTAAATGGATGCACATTGAGACTATACTCTTAAGTGAAATAAATAGGACATAGTTGAATAAATACTGAATAGTTTCTCTGGTACGAAAAACTAAAGGTGTAAATAAGGTTCAAGTGATATAATTTAGAGTGTGAAATAGGAAGAAAAAGGCTAAAGGGGAAATAGGAAAGGGAGAGGTAAGGAAAGAAGGGAAAAGAAAAATGTGAAAAAATGGAAACAAGTCTTTGTAAATAGGGATGGGTAAAGGGGGTGAAGGGAGGGCAGGGGAATGGGGGAAAAACAAGAACCAAGATACATCACGTAAAGGTACAAGATCCCAATGATGAATGTAACTGTACTGTCTGCTTTAAATGTGCCATAAAACTTAACAGGGGAAAAAAATAAAGCAGGTAGTTTGTTCTTATGGTTAAAAGCAGACAGGGAAAAAAACTATGTATTAATACATAATCATAAGTTATATGTCCAAAAATTATTAGTTTTTTATTTATTACTCTGAAAATCATGTAAGCTGCAGAAACACTGGATTTTCTAAACCTATGGAGCTGGTTTTACACCAGATGCACTGATCTCTGCTTATCCCATCATGCCGAGAGCCAGGCACAGCGGCAGACTCCTGTGGTACAGCTGTGAAGGAGGCTGGCACAGGGAGATTGAGCCCTGGAGTTCAGGGACAGCCTGGGCAACACAGCAGGACCCCATGTCTGAAGAACAGAAACACACATCAACAATGCTTGGACAATATCTAGACTACCATGGTGTGCTCTTGCTCTCAGAACACTTCCTACTACATAGAAAGACAGCTTTAGTAGCCGTGTTTTGAATTAAATGATGCGCAGGATAAAATCATACCCCTTGATTTCTTAAAAATAGTTGCCTCCAAAGCCACCAAGCCAAAGAAAAAGGCATATGTATTTTGCTAACAAACTACTACAGCCTTTAAATTGCAAGGAAACCACAAGAAACCAGTTTGATGCATTTGTCTGCCTGGTCAAGCATCCCCAGGCACCCCTCCTGGCTCAAGACAACTGTCCTCCTGGAAACCATCACACAGTGACCAGCAGATGTGCCACTCTTTTTCAAGAACGGGTGCTGCAATTTGGGTGAATAGGTGAGAAGTAGGAATGCCCCACTTTGCCTAAATCCAAGCCTTATAGGTTAATCAGCCGCTCATTTATGGGCCAGTAGCACACATGCTTTGTAAGCTATCAGATGATTTCCTCCATCTTAATAAAAGAACGTATCTTTTAACAAATGGCATTATCACATCTTGTCTTGCTCTGGCCTCCTCTCTGGCAGCTACATAAGTCCCTTAATTTTGGACTGTTCAAAAGCCAGGGCCAGGGGTGGAGCTCAGTGGTGGAGCTCAGTGGTGGAGCTCTGGCCTAGCACACAAAGCCATGGGCTCCATCCCCAGCACCTCTAGAAGCAAAGGCAAACATCAGGAGAATCCAAGAATGGCCCCTGAGAGACCTTGAGAAGATTCTGAAGCAATACAGCTGCTGCTGGTCCCTGGATCCATACTTTCAAAGCCAGTGGTCTAGATAGACACTAGCAAGCACTTTGCAAAATGTAGTAAAAGGTATCAGGTGAGAAGGGTT